TCCTCCACAATCTGCGTTTTTCTGGGGCCAGAGGCTGTTAGGGCAGGTTTACATCCAGGTGTGACCTCTGGCCCCACAACTTTTTTGTCATAATGCCAGATGACTCAGCACGGTGGGTAATAGAGGTATTCTTTTTTTTTTTTTTTTTTTTTTTAAGACTAGTCAAGTAATAGAGGTATTCTTGAAAGCCATTTTGACACCCAGGAAAGTGAGTTTAAACCACATAAATATAACCCAGAATAATTGTATACCAAACCACATAATGTTTGCACAATATTTCAATTATGCTAAATATCACTGACTTTTTCACTTTAAAGTGATTAATTTTATGTTATTTGAATTTCACTTTAGCAAATATATTTTTTAAAAAATACTACAGGCCAGGCGTGGTGGCTCACGCCTGTAATCCTAGCACTCTGGGAGGCCGAGGTGGGAGAATTGGTCAAGGTCAGGAGTTCCAAACCAGCCTGAGCAACAGCGAGACCCCGTCTCTACTATAAATAGAAAGAAATTAATTGACCAACTAATATATATAGAAAAAAAATTAGCCGGGCATGGTGGCGCATTGCTGTAGTCCCAGCTACTCGGGAGGCAGAGGCAGAAGGATTGCTTGAGCCCAGGAGTTTGAGGTTGCTGTGAGCTAGGCTGACGCCACGGCACTCCATCCTAGGCCTGGACACAAAGGCAAGACTCTGTCTCAAAAAAAAAAAAAAAAAAAATACAGCCAGGCACAGTGGCTCATGCCTGTAGTCCCAGCACTTTGGGAGGCTGAGGTGGGAGGATCACTTGAGGCCAGGAATTTAAGACCAGCCTGGGCAACACAGTGAGAGCCTGTCTCTACAAATACTTTTTTAAAAATTAGCCAGGTGTGTCCTAGCACTCTGGGAGGCTGAGGTGGGAGAATCACTCAAGGTCAGGAGTTCAAAACCAGCCTGAGCAAGAGCGAGGCCCCGTCTCTACTGAAACTAGAAGGAAATTAATTGGCCAACTATATATAGAAAAAATTAGCTGGGCATGCTGGCACACGCCTGTAGTCCCAGCTACGCGGGAGGCTGAGGCAGGAGGATCACTTGAGCCCAGGAGTTTGAGGTTGCTGTGAGCTAGGCTGATGCTGTAGCACTCTAGCCCGGGCAACAGAGTGAGACTGTCTCAAAAAAAAAAAAAAAAAAAGAGCTGTCCTTGTGGGAAGGGATGTGTTTACCTTGGTTGGAATGGAGAGGTGTAGCGTCCATATTTCCAAGAAGAGACTCAGGTAGGAACATAGATCTGCGGGCAGGGAAGGCAGGCCCCTGGGAACAGGGCTGGCCACATAATTTGTAGGACCCTTCATTCAAAAAAATATGTATGAAAAGACTGTTGTTGAAGGTGCTAAAATAGACAGCTTTTCCCTTTCTTCTAGTCTCTCTCTCATCATGGTGTTTTTTATTTACTATTTGGTGCCATTCTAAGTAAAGTTAACATTTTAAATAGTTAGCATGAATTTGGCCATTCATCTGTACATTGCGCAATGCAAGCTTTGAATGCAAATAGAACAGCATTTAACTTGGATGTGGAATCACCAAAATCACACCATTTTTGTTGTGTGGCTTGTATATACATAAATGCAGCTGATTCTCAGTATTCATAGATTTTGTATTTGTGAACTCCGCCTACCTGTTAAAATTTATTGGTAGTCCCCTAATCAATACTCCTGGCAGTCTCTATCATTCACGGACATGTGCACGTGCAGAGCTGGCCCACATGCACACGCACCACCTAAGTCTGAACAGGCAAAGCTCTCATAGTACTGCGTGGGGAACTGCTCTCTCGTGAAGGGCCTCAGGCGCCTCCCATTTCCCCTGCAGAGCCAAAGGAGCATCTGACATAGGAGGGAAAGGTTAGAGAGCTGGCTCTTTGTCACCTTCTTCTGAAACTGTCCTAACCCTTCAGGGTGGAAAGAGACCTCTCCCTTCCCTGTCTGGAGTTGGGAATGGCTGGCTAGAGGGAAGGGAGGCCTGCGTGTTTCCATTCTCCTCTAACTCCAGGGGAGCAGGACTCCGACTGGCTTTTTCACTTGGAGCTTCTGGAAGTATTTGCAAGTCAGTAATAGACTCTTAGCCCACAGGAAAACCAAAAGTGACCATAAAGCCCCCGTGATATCATACTAACAACAACAACAAAAAAAGGAGTCACAACGGATTAGTTATCTTTATATCTGCTTTGTTTTCCTGTCCTAACTTGAAAAAAATGCCCTCATCTTTAGCATTATCAAGCATATAAAATGAGACAATGACTCAAAATTTCCTGGCAACTAATGTGACAAAACAAAACTCTAAAGGGAAAGAAAGAATTACAATTTAGTAAAGATCTTCATGGATTTGTTTATAAAATTTTTCAGAAGAGATAATAAACAGAGCGGATACCTAGCTAATATGAGACAATCTGCAATTTATTAATCATTCTTTGTTTTTCTTTTCTGAGACGGAGTCTCACTCTGTTGCCCGGGCTAGAGTGCCGTGGCGTCAGCCTAGCTCACAGCAGCCTCAAACTCCTGGGCTCAAGCCATCCTCCTGCCTCAGCCTCCATAGTAGCTGGGACTATAGGCACATGCCACCATGCCCAGCTAATTTTTTCTATATATATTTTTAGTTGGCCAATTAATTTCTTTCCATTTTTAGTAGAGATGGGGGTCTCGCTTTTGCTCAGGTTTCGCACTCCTGACCTTGAGCGATCCTTCCACCTCGGCCTCCCAGAGTGCTGGGATTACAGGTGTGAGCCACCGCGCCCGGCCTAGATCCCATAAGTTTTCATCCTCTCTTAGTTTTGAGAATGCTTTCATGACGGCTTTAAAAATTTTGTTCTGTTCATTTAAGCTTCATGCTCACATCGGATACAAATCTCTCCTGACTTGATCAGGTGAGGTTGCTGCAGCCCTGCTGCCCCTGCTCACTAACCCTAACCGGCCACCAGTACCAGACTGTCACAATGTCCTCTGTGTAGCATGAATTTAAATGCCCCCGCTTGTGGAGCGATGGTCTGTTTTCACTCACAATGCTTCCAACCCCAGATGTATGGGTTTTTTTTTTTTTTCCCCTTGCACCAGTCCATACTCCAGCTCTGTGGACACCAGTTGGGTATCCTACAATTCAATTGCATTCCGACACTAGCCAGCGTCTCCTTATTTACAATAGGTTTACTTATTTGTCTAATCCAAGTATACATTTAAAGTAGTTTCAGAATTGCTATACTTCTGTGAGATACAAATTTACAACCAGAGCTGCAGTGTTTGTGTGCAGTGCTTTATGTCCTCATCTGACAGTTTCAGGTCAAAACATTGTTTTCCAAAGGTAAATGTCAGGGTCTGGTGTAGTGTGGCTCACGCCTGTGACCCTAGCACTCTGGGAGGCCGAGGCAGGAGGATCGCTTGAGCTCAGGAGTTTGAGACCAGCCTGAGCAAGAGCAAGACCCCTTTTCTGCTAATAATAGAAAAATTAGCTGGGCGTGGTGGTGCACGCTTGTAGTCCCAGCTACTCGGGAGGCTGAGGCAGGAGGATTGCCTGAGCCCAGGAGTTGGAGGTTGCAGTGAGCTACAATGACAACCACTGTACTCTACCTAGGGTGACAGAGTGAGACACAAAAATTCAAAAAGTTAATTGTCAATTATTTTTCCCTCCATCCCCTTCAGTGAGGTTATGTCATACATTTGTAATACAATTAGATTTATTTGTCACAATTTGCATACCATCCTGGGTCCCCCACAACCTGGTTAATTTTTTAAAATTTGGGTACAGTAAAAGTCCCCTCTCTGTGGCACACCGTTTGTGGGTTTTAACAAATGCATATTGTCATGTATCCACTACCACAGGACCATATAGAACAGCCCCATCATCTTAAAAATTCCCTCCTGCAGCCCCTTTGTCGTAAACTCCTCTCCTTTCCCAAACTTGGCAACCGCGGATCTGTTTTCCATCCCTATGGTTTTGCCTTTTCCAGAATGACTCATAAATGGAATCATGCACTATGTGGGCTTTTAGGCCTAGCTTCTTTCGCTCAGCAAAATGAATTTACGATTTGTCCATACGGTGTGAACCAGCGGTTCGTTTCGTTTCTTTTTACTGTGGGGCGTGGAGGGACTCACGGACTGCACATCCGCAGTTTGTCTTTCCAATCACCTGTTGAAGGACATCTAGGTTATTTCTAGTTTTTGGCAATTATGAATGAAGCCGTTATAAACAGCCATGTGTGGGCTTTTGTGTGATTGTGAGCTTTCAGTTCACTTGGATCAATTCCTGGTAGTGGAATGGCTGGGCTGTATGGTAAGTATATGCTTGTAAGAAACTGCTGTTGAACAGCTTCCCAAAGTGGCTGTCACGCTTTGCAATCCCGTTGGCGACAAGTGAGAGTTCCTGTTGTTTCGTGTCTCCGCCAGCAATCGGTTGGTTGTCCGCACTCTTTTTAAAATGGCCATTGCCCGCCCACTCCAGCCCAGCTTCTTCCTTCCTTTGGCCTCTGCTTGGATCATAAAACAATCTCTACTCTTGCTATGCAGGCTGCTGGCATCCGTGAAGGTAGTGATTTAGACGACTGCCTATCTCCACCGTGCACTAGAGTACTTTCCTGTTTTGCCATTTCCTAACGGTTGTACAAGGCAGTTTCAGCGACATTCTCAGGTTGGGTGAGAGATAATAGCACCCTGCTTGAGAAGAATTCCTCTCTGGCTTTCTGAAACCTCTGCTTTTCTTTTCTTTTCTTTCTTTTTTTTTTTTTTTTTTTTTCTTTTTTTTTTTTTTTTTTTTGAGACAGAGTCTCACTCTGTTGCCCAGGCTAGAGTGAGTGCCGTGGCGTCAGCCTCGCTCACAGCAACCTCAATCTCCTGGGCTCAAGCGATCCTCCTGCCTCAGCCTCCCGAGTAGCTGGGACTACAGGCATGCACCACCATGCCCGGCTAATTTTTTGTATATATATTTTTAGTTGGTCAATTAATTTCTTTCTATTTTTAATAGAGATGGGGTCTCGCTCAGGTTTTGAACTCCTGACCTCCCACCTCGGCCTCCCAGAATGCTAGGATTACAGGCGTGAGCCACCACGCCCAGCGGAAACCTCTGCTTTTCTGCAGCCTCTTAGCTCTCAGCTTAACCAAGTAAATGCATCGAAATACCAGAGTGATCAAGGGTCTTCGCTAGACTCTGCAGTGACAAAGGATCCAACGGGATGGACCACTTCGTGTGGCTTTCCAGCCAGGTACCTGGATTTTAATTCATGAGGAAGGCGCTGAGTGCCAGGCCCATGCTCAGAGTCCCTGCCGCCTGGCTTGGCAGCCAGCACGTTCTCATAGTCATCAGAGTCCTCGTCTGACATCTCTTCTCTGTGTGTCGTCTGACTGTTCTCACTCTGTGTGGATGGCTGAAAGGCCACATAATCCTCTGAAGCCAAGGACCCTCTTCTGACAGGTTGGATGTGGGTCTCTGGGCCATCTGTCCTGCCCTCAACACGGCCTGTGTTTGAGGATGTCGCTTCTTCATCAACCTGCTGCAGGTTTCCACTGGGATCTGCTGGCGGGACATTTTCATAATCTCTGCAGCACTGACAAGCCACGTGAGGCTGCGTCTCCTGGATGGCCCTGAGATCCAACCCCGTCATGTTGACATAGTCATTTGAGGTCTGAGAAGAGCATTCCCCGTCACTGAGAGAGTCACTGGCCTCAGGTTCTGGGGACCAAAAGCTGGTGCAGTTCACAGCATTCCTGCAGTCCTCGAGTCTCTCTGCAGCAAACTCCAGCTCCTGGGCGCTTGGAAGAACAAGCAGATTTCTGGAGGGGCTGTTGGCAGACGCCAGAGTCTCAGCAATCTCTTCTGCCGTGGGGACATTGACATAATCATGTGAATCCGCTGAAGAAATGTTCGTGCGGTCTCGGGAAGCTCGGACATTGGAGCATTGTGCCAAGGGAGTGAGGTTTCCGCACATCTGGGGCACCGTGGCATTGTCGTAGATCCCCACCGCGAACTCCTCGGCATGGATACGGGCTCTGTGCACCTGGGGGACACTTCCTGCCCCGGGAGGCTACGAGGAAGAGGAGAAAGCCAGTGATAAGATGGAAGCAGAAATATGGACAAAGCCTTTCTTCCTTAAAAGCTCTAAATCAGGGGTCCCAAACTGCAAGGCTCTACAGACCACGTGAGTGTGAGTGCAGTAGGCTGAGTTTAAGAAGAGCAGCAGTGTAAACGTGATGACAAATTGCAGCTGGTTTTCGGCCACAGGGTGGGGCTTCAATGGCAGAGTGGGGAGAAAGTATTGTTAGGTAGATAGCAAGGGACCTCCGAGACTCTTCCTAGGTGACAAAAGTGGGTGCCTTGCCTTGGTGCTGCCTCCAGCAATTGTCCCACCTGAGAAGAAGGACAAGGGTTCCCCAGCACCCCAGTCTTGGTGCTGCCTCACCTTAATCCTGCTCTGAGCAGCTGCCACACCTGGGGGAAGGAGGAACCTTTCTAGTCTGCAAAAGAATAGAACATGGCCTGGGGCAACCTAAGGCTAATGATTACCATGTTGTTAGTTAACTGTCCCTCAAAGTGGTTCCATGGTGACACCTGAACGGTGAGGTGGGCCCATCCCAGACCCCAGACCATAATCAGAGCTTTTTTGTTACGACAGAGGGGTCCATTTGCCCTTCTGTTGCCAACGTACCTTGCTCTTACTCTGTAAACCTGTATCTTGCTCTTGCTCTGTAAACCTATCTTGTCCTTCCTTAATAAACTTTGGTTCCTGCTAGCCTTGCTTTTGGTGTGTCTGGCCATTCTTCAGCCAAGAGCATACCAAGAACTGAGGACGGATAAGATTACCACTCCGAACCCTGACAGTATTGCAAACTGGAGAGAGTTTGCCTCCTCGGATCACAGTGAGGGACAATACAGCTTAGTGGCTAAAGGAAGCTTAGATTCAGCCTTTCCACTTTGTGTTGGGTGAGTTTGAGCACTTTACCTACTCTCTCTGGCCCTTCATTGCCTAATTTATAAACTGAGAATCATCATAATATCTGTATCATAAGGTTTTGTAAGGAGTAAATGGATTACTATATACAGTGTTTAGCATAGCTCCTGCCACATAGAAAACACTAAAAGATGCTTGCCGTCATTATTAAAGGGACAACCGATACCCAGACTTAGCTGATTATTGCCACTTAGGGGTGCTGGTTTGATGTTTCCAGAACTTCTAAATTTTCAAGAAAAGCTGGACATCCGGACTTTAAATGTGGGCAACGTATTTAAAATGTTTTTCACATCCTATAGAGTGTAAGCCAAACATGTCTGTGGGTTTAAGACAGTTTGGGACCTAAATTCTAAATGCACAGTCCCCTCAGGGCCCACCCAAGTCCCGGAACTGGCTTTGGCAATGGCCCCTCCTCTTCCCTGCCTTCCGTCAGCCACTCGGACTCGCTACTCCAGAAGTCTTCCAGGTGGGAGCAGAGTCCAAGGAGTGGGAGGAGGGGGAGGGGAAGGTAGCAGCACACAGGTGGCTGTGTAGTAATTGAAACTAAATCTCTGGGTAACAAGAGGCTGAGTAAGAACAGTTGTCATCAGTGACATCAATGCACTCCCCCGGGGACGACCACAAAACCAAACGAACTAATTTTTAAACAAACAACCTAACTATCAAAATCAGCACCCTGGCCAGGCATGGTGGTTCACACCTGTAATCTTAGCACTCTGGGAGGCCGAGGAGGGTGGATTGCTCAAGGTCAGAAATTCAAAACCAGCCTGAGCAACTGTGAGACCCCGTCTCTACTAAAATAGAAAGAAATTAATTGGCCAACTAAAAATATACAGAAAAAATCATCCGGGCATGGTGGCGCACGCCTGTAGTCTCAGCTACTGCTCGGGAGGCTGAGGCGGGAGGATCGCTTGAGCCCAGGAGTTTGAGGTTGCTGTGAGCTAGGCTGACGCCACGGCACTCACTCTAGCCTGGGCATCAAAGGGAGACTCTGTCTCAAAAAAAAAAAAAAATCAGCACCCCGATCTTCAAAGCAGCCCCTCTACTTTCCTTGCGTCTTTGCCACAAACTGTTACTGGATTCCTGCTTCGGAGCCAGATCTTCAGACTCACAGATCATTATCGTTAATTGTAGCATTCCCCCGGTAACCTCAAAGGTTATCTGATTTTTGATCAAACACTTTCTACATCAGCTACGGTGCGGAACGACTTATGGATGTTTCTGCTATGACTGATCATTGAAACAACTGGACACAGGCCCTACAAGTAGTTCCCAAAGCAGGGCTTTAAGTGTGTTCCGAGCACCAACAATGTCCCAACATTGGACATTTGTGTGTCCTTTTGAGGTGATTCTTTTGAAGGGGGCAACACCCATTTGGAGAAGCGCGTTGTCCATGTGTTTGTGAAAATGATCCATTTCAGCTCTAACATCAGGTACTTGAATGCAGGTGCTCCGGTGCCTTTCTTAAAATCCCAAGCACTTGCTCCTGCCCTTCTTAATTTTTCTCCCTGGGTATAGGGAGGTCCTGAGGCTGGTCTTCCCGATTTATTAATAGGGCGGCAGGGCCAGGGCCAAAGGACACGCTATATTTGCAGTGAAACCAGATCCCAGCCCTAGAACTCTTTCCCCTCAGTTCTTCTGCCAGAGGCGTGCCGTTCTCCCTAGAAGCTTGCCGTGTCCCTGGGCTCTTACCGCGTGCTCGGGGCTGTCAGGGTTTCTGGAGAAGAGGCTCTCGGTACTGAGAATACAGCCACCGCTTGACTGAAGTCTCCCTGAAAGGACGGAGATAAAATCCTGAAGATAGTGGGCCAGCCCTCCGAGGGCTCCAGCCTAAACCATCCCAGCATCGCGGGGGAACCGGGTTTGCACCGTGTCCGGAATTCCCAGCCCGGGGCCTGGTGTTCTGTGTTGCAAGGCTCAGGGCTACAGAGGGGACATGCTCGGAGACCTGGACACCCCCTCAGCGTGTGTGGCACTAGCGGGTGCTAGCACAAGGGCTGGGGGGGGGCGCTGAGAAGGAAGCTCCTGCAGCGGACCACCCTCCCACCCGTCCCTGTCCCCTGCCTATAATGCTGGCACCAAGTTCTCCTGCATGTATTCCTCAGGCCTAGACACTCTGGGCTTTCCGCTACTGCCTTAACATCAAGGAAGCACAAAACCCCTACCCAAAAGGGCAGGGGAAAGAAAACAAAAATAAAAACACCACCCCCCAGCCCAGAAGTGACCCTCTGCTCCCTTTGTAGAGCTCTCTGCCCCCCCGCCCCCCAGCTGCAGCTTGCAGTCTGTGTGTCCTGCTCTCTGGAGGGCAGACGGGTGTGATAGCTTAGGGAATGTGAGCAGAAGCTTGAGCGTCTGCACGCCGTGGACTAGAAGGAGAAACCTACCCGGCTCTTCTTGCCACGGAGGCAAGAGGTCATAAATGTTTTTGGCTCGTTGTCTGGGCCGTGGCAGAGTTAGGGGCCTGGCGGCGACTTGGAGGTAAGGAACTTGCCCTGCAAGGCGATGAGAGAGAGAGAGGGTCAGCAGGGTCGGCGGCAGGGCGTGGGGGCCAGCAGGGTCGGCGGCAGGGCGTGGGGGCCAGCAGGGTCGGCGGCAGGGCGTGGGGGCCAGGCGGCTGCTGAAGGGACTCCCCGCCCTCACCAGGGCTTGAGCTAGAGGCATTTCCACTTGCGCTGGAGGAATAAGGGACTCGGTGGACAGAAGCAGGAAGGGGACACTGGGCATGGGGGTCCCAGGGCAATGTCTGTCCCCGTGGAACTCAGATCGGCACTGGGCCGTAGGAGCCACAGCTCAGGATCTTAGTGAGACAATGGCCAATGTGTTGGATAAGAAAGAACTGAGGACTCCCCCTTGCAACAGTTCATCCCTGGAAAATAAACCGGGCTTTAAATGCCAGGCTAGATTATTTATCTATTCATTTATTTATTTATTTATTTATTTTTTTGAGACAGGGTCTCATTCTGTTGCCTGGGTTAGAGTGCCGTGGCGTCAGCCTAGCTCACAGCAACCTCAAACTCCTGGGCTCAGGTGATCCTCCTGCCTCAGCCTCCCAGGTAGCTGGGACTACAGGCGTGTGCCACCACACCCGGCTATTTTTTTCTATTTTTAGTATAGATGGGGTCTTGCACTTGCTCAGGCTGGTCTCGAACTCCTGAGCTCAAGTGATCCTCCTCCCTTGGCCTCCCAGAGTGTCAGGATCACAGGCGTGAGCCACGGTGCCGGGCTTCAGGCTGGATTATTAATTCTGCTGTGTCTCAGCACAGACCAACAAGGGACTCACGCTTCTTCCGTTTGTTCCAGTTGCACGCGATGCAGAAAACTGTGACGACCAGGAGGATGATGGCAAGGATTCCCGCAAGCCCGGAAAAGATGCTGCTGCTCTGGCCTGGATCTCTAGGAGGACAACAAAATGTCATGGCCCGCCTGCAGGAGGGCAGGGAGGCAGGAGGGTGGGGAGGCAGGAGGGCACATTTCCTTCAGGAGCTAGAGCATGAAGGTTTGGGATGGGAGCCCAGGGAGGGGAAGCTGAGGGGCGTGGAAAGCATGGTGGAAGAGAGGTCATCTCTGGCTTGGGCCTGGGAGAAGGGAATTATCCCTTTTGGATGCCTACTGAGTGCCAGGAGTTTGCATGTGAAGTTTATCTTTACAACAAACCTATCTTGCTTTGCGGCCAACTAACCTGAGATTTAGACACCGAAAGGTAAGGCAACAAGTCAAAGATGACACAGGTAGGAAGGAGCAGGGAAGGACTGTGAATCTAGGTTTATTCGGGTCCAAAGAGCATGATCTTTCCACGCTACCATACTGTCCTCCAAACTTGCAAAGTCAAATCCAGCGAGCCCTGCAGTCTTCTCACTGCCTGCTCCTGGGCTTCCTGGCTTGCTCAGAGGAGAGGATCACCCAGCTCACAATTAGGGAGTGGCCTGTGACAGAGTCCAGCTTGCATGAACTTGAATAACCCCCACAGCATCCACTTGTGGAGCTGGTCTCCAGGCGACGCTCCACTGTTGTGCGGAAGTGAACCAGTGCAAGTTCTGCGCTACTTTGCCACTCCCCGGCCGGGCTGCGGTCACTGCTTTGCTTTGCTAGAGTGCTGAACAGCCTCCAGATGACTGCAGCCCCAGAGGGCCACTTCTACTATAACGGGAAGCAGCCAACTAAAGTCACAGCAGGTGTCAGTGAGCTGACTTACTACTCCCAAATATCAGAAAACCAGGTCATCTACCAGGGAAGGATTTTGTTCCCCTGAATTTTAGGCTCATTCATCCAGCATTCTACTGGGCCTTTCTAGCTGCTGCCAACAGACGTCGCAAACCAAGACAGAGCTCCGTTCTCCATCTGCGAACCTCCTCTTCCTCGGGGGTTTCTCGTTATCTAGTGGCCTGGTCGAAAACCCTGGAGCCATTCTTAACGGCTCTTTCTCCTTCCTGCCCCATTGCCTGTCGGCCAGCAGATTCTGTCTGCTCTGCCCTGGCCCACTGTCCCTAACCCAGCCACCTGGTCTAAGCCGCCTTGAGTTCCACATGGACCTTTGCGATAACCTTCACAATGGGTCTCCTGGCTTTCGCTCTTGGCCCTAACGTACTGATTTAACACGAGCCAGTGGGATCATTCTAAACAGCAAATCAGATCGTGTCCCTCCTCTGTTTGTAATTCCCAGGGCTTCCCATCACACTTAGAACAAAGTCCATAGTCCCCACCCAGCGAGGGCTTATTGGCACCAGGTGATCTGGCCTCCACCTACCTTCTGACCTTATTTCCTGCCACTGTCCCTCTGACTGTGACTGCCAGGCCTCCTTGCTGTCCCTTGGCCACGCAAAGCACTATTCTGACTCAGACCTGCCACTCCCTGGCCCAGGAGCCCTCCTGTCCCAGCTGTCTGCATGGCTCAGTCCCTCATTGCATTCAGGCCTCTTCCAAAATGTCACCTCCTTAGACAGGTCTTCCCTGGCCACTATCTATGACTTGCAGGCCCCTTGCTTTGGTCTACTCTTTCTTCATGGCACTGGTTACTGGTCGATACTGTAGTATATATCCTTTTGTCTATCTGTTTATCACCTGCCTCTCCCGCTGGGGCTGTAAGCTTTGGGAGATCATGGGCTTGTCTATCCTGCTCGCATAGTGCCTTAAACAGTGCCTGGTACTTAGTAGGGCCCTGATGAATATTTGTTAAATGAATGAGTGAATTAATAAATGAGTGAATGAATATAGAAATAGTTTTAGGGGGTTGCTTCAGGTTTCTGACAACTTTTGTGAACTCCTTCCTCGTTTGACGGCACGTATACTAAAATTGGAATGACACAGAGATTAGCATGGCCCCTGTGCAAGGATGACACACAAATTCGTGAAGCGCTCCATATCTTAAAATATTTTTTGAAAAATACAAAAATTAAAAAAAGAAAAAAAAAAAGAACTCATTCGTCATCATTGCCATGTCTACCTGCATTATCCATAATAATATTTATTTCCCCAAATTACAGCAATTTTAACTTTATTATCATTGGGTCGTATTTTTATAATAGCACTGAAATTTATTTATTTATTATTTATTTATAATAGCACTGAAACACCTGCCAAGGTTCCTGAAGTTCCGATTCCTAATTAACCTTTTTTCTTTTTCTTTTTTTTTTTTTTTTGAGACAGGTCTCGCTTTGTTGCCCAGGCTAGAGTGAGTGCTGTGGCGTCAGCCTAGCTCACGGCAACCTCAAACTCCTGGGCTCAAGCGATCCTTCTGCCTCAGCCTCCGAGTAGCTGGGACTACAGGCATGCGCCACCATGCCCGGCTAATTTTTTCTGTATATGTTAGTTGGCCAATTAATTTCTTTCTATTTATAGTAGAGACAGGGTTTCACTCTTGCTCAGACTGGTTTTGAACTCCTGACCTCGAGCAATCTGCCCACCTTGGCCTCCCAGAGTGCTAGGATTACAGGCGTGAGCCACCAAGCCCGGCCTAAATAAAGGTATTTAATGTTCCAAAAAATACGTATCTTTATTGCATCTGTTATTACGATTTTCATTCATGGCAAGTTTTAAGCATCTGAAAACACACCCTCAGGAAATTGGGCCTTTTGTTTCCATCACGGTGAGACGGAGTTTGCTATTGTTGTTGTCTGAGGAGTGCCCAGTGGGACTTGAGAGAGGAAAGACCGAGGACAGGGGTCAGGGCTCCCGAGGGGTGAGAGGTCAAAGCAACGACTTTTCCTCTCCCACGACATCTCCTTTCCTTCCTTAATACCTTCCTGTCCTCCTGTCCTCCCAAACCCTAATACCCTCCTAGGGTTTGGTGGTCTCAGTGGACCCGAGCCTTGGTGTGAGGGGCAGCAGCACTGCTGGGGACCATGCCCTGGTCCCCAGGGAGGACCAGGACCCTCTGATTAAACCTGGGAAGGTGGCGCTCACCTCCCCAAATCACTCACCTGTCCAGGGTGGTGGGAGTCACCCACAGGGCTCCGGGCTCTGAGGTCCTCCCTCTGATTTCCGAAGGGGTCCTGTTGGTGACGTCCATTGTCTCGGAGACCTCTGAGATGCTCTCTAGCTTCAGCTTCTAAGTCTTCTCTTAATCAAAATCGGTAGCCAGCATGTCCACTCCTTTTCTTGGCTCTTCCTGAGTTGCTGACTCCCAGGAGACAAGGCACATTTGTTTGTGTTTTGCATATCACCAAGTGTCCTTTTAGTAGATAACATAAAAATGACAGAAAAGGTCCTCATCTTCACGTCTTCCAAACACTCCCTAATGCACAACTTTGTGCTCTCAAAATTCCTTGTTAAATCTTTATCAAAGTCCCCCACAAAAAACTTTTGGTTTTTAGTCCTTTTTCTCTAAAGCAGCCAATCTTTCTTTCTAGAACTTTCTCCCCTCCGTCCCCCCCACAAACTGCCTGCCTTTTGTCTACCCCTGAAATGTCAGGCTGAGTTGACCCAACATACAAAAACAACAGGTTTGGTTTCTACCTGAACGTGGGACGATGCCCGCTATGGGAGGTGGTATCTCCTCCGGGTGACGGTGCTCCACAGGGAGGTGGCTCAGGGGGAGCCCACGGCCTCTGCCTGCTGGTGGGGACATGAGGTGCCCGGACGGGGAAGCTGCCCAGAGGCCCAGGGGAGCTTCCGTGAGAAACTCATCTTCCTCTAACCCCGAAGGAAGAGCAAAAAGAGCAAACCACTTCGCCAGAATGGAAACAGAGAGTCAGTCACAGGAAGCGACGCCACCAATGTGCTAATGATGCACAGGGTACAGGAAATGCCACCGAGCCCTTAATAAGACAGAAAACAACCGGATCTTCAGCCCCCTGCTCCCTGGGCCTGCCAGGTGCTCTGTGGTCTGTGATGGGCGTGATTAAAAATGGGGCAGAGTCGCAGAGGACCGCGACGGTTCGCCCCAGGAGTCCGAGACGTTTAGACTTGTACAAGCCTCTGGGTTTAGAGGTTTTTTTTTTTTTAAAGAATGTTTTTAGCAAGTCTAGGTAGCACTGTGAGATTTTTCTTAGAGAAAAATGCAGGTCTCTGGGCCCCAGCTTCTGGTCGAGTGGGTGGAGGCTGGCGATGGGGGCAGGCTTTTTAAATAGATGCTTTTCCAGGTGATTTTTGAAAGAGCTGGTTTGCGTTTCACATTTTGAGAACCAAAGCTCTGGGTATTGTCCCAAGAGTGGCGCTAATGCCGCCGGGTTGGCAGGGCCCTGGGAGGCCACCCGGCTGCCTCCTGGCTGTGTGGGCTCCTGCACAGACAGGTCCCAGTCTGCGTGTCATGCACCTGCCTCAGAAGCCAGGTTGTTTGTCCCCAGGCTACCTGCGGTGTCCCAAACTTTGAAGATTGCTAGAAGTTTGTTTCTAATCCCCTTGCCCCTCTTTCCCTACTAGTCTCCGTAAGCATCCTTTGCACCCTGGGACAGCCCCAAGAGAAGCGGCCACTAAGGTTGCAGTGAGTACGTCAAGAGCTCGCTGCCTGCGCTTCCCACGAGGAAGGGGGCTCCCAGGCGGGTGGGAGGGAAGACGCCCAGTGGCCCCGTCACCACGCCTCGGGCCCATCTCTCTCCCCAGGGCACATGGAGGACCTCGGCTTCCCCGAGCCAGCAGCCCCTGCCCGGTCCGCGCCCAGGCTCTCAGCGGCCCGCTCCAGGGAGCTCCGCCGTCCGCGTGCTGGGTGCCCTCCCTCCCAGCAGCCTCACCTGCGGGAGGCAGAGGTGGCTCAGAGGCAGCCGGCTCTGGAGCTGGAACCTGGGTCTCTGCCCACTTCTCCTTTGGACGGGGTCTGAGTAAGAACTAGGACTCTTCACAAGATCTGTCACACTGGTGGCAGGGACCGGCGTCCTGAGCCATTGGAACCAATATCGGGCTGTGTGTGAACTGGCAACTTGGAAGGTGGTACTAGAGACGGGCATCTTAGAAGCCTGACTGCTACTTTAAAAAAATTTTTTTTAAAAAGAACTTCCCAGCCAGGTGCAGTGGCTCACGCCTGTAATGCTAGCACTCTGGGAGGCCGAGGCGGGAGGATCGTTTGACCTCAGGAGTTCGAGACCAGACTGAGCAAGAACGAGACCCCATCTCTACTAAAAAAAAAAAATAGAAAGAAATTACCTAGACAACTAAAATATATACATATAAATTAGCTGAGCGTGGTGATTCACACTTGTAGTCCCAGCTACTCGGGAGGCTGAGGCAGGAGGATCGCTTGAGCCCAGGAGTGTGAGGTTGCTGTGAGCTAGGCTGATGCCACGGCACTCACTCTAGCCTGGGCAACAGAGTGAGACTCTGTCTCAAAAAAAAAAAAGAAGAACTCCCCCCTGCGTGTGATCATTTCAGGGCCTGGCTTCTCTTATCTACGCACTGCTGCAGTCAGACCCATCTTCCCTCCAGTTTCCCGGTTCTCTCCTGCCCCCGCAGAGGGGAACCACCTCCTCAGCGTGGCTTCCTGAGTCCCCGCTCCCAGGCTGCTGGCAGAGCGCCAGGTTTCCAGGCTGTGGCCCTCGCCCCCTCCAGCCCTCTCTCCGTTCACTCCCCAGGGGGCAAACCCTGATTAAATCAACAAATTAAAACAAAGAGTATCTGAAGTGATTCATCGTCACAGTGGAAGAAAACCATTGATTCCTGGGGATCGGGGTGTGTGTCTTAAACCTGATTGCTCTAGTGTTTTCCTTAAGCTGCTTTTATTGATTTTAAGTATTAAGATTGGTTTTATTTATTTATTTATTTTTTTTATTTTTTTTTTGAGACAGAGTCTCGCTTTGTTGTCCAGGCTAGAGTGAGTGTCGTGGCGTCAGCCTAGCTCACAGCAACCTCAAACTCCTGGGCTCAAGCGATCCTCCTGCCTCAGCCTCCGGGGTAGCTGGAGCTACAGGCATCGCCGCCCCGTGCCCGGCTAATTTTTTATAATATATATCAGTTGGCCCAATTAATTTCTTTCTATTTATAGTAGAGACGGGGTCCCGCTCTTGCCTCAGGCCTGGTTTTGAACTCTGAGCCTTGAGGCAATCCACCCCGCCTTGGCCTCCCAAGAGCTAGGATTACAGGCGTGAGCCACCGCGCCGGCCAAGATTGGTTTTATTTTAATTTAATTTAATTAATTAATATTTTTTGGAGACAGAGTCTTGCTCTACCGCCCAGGCTAGAGTGCCGTGGCATCAGCCTAGCTCACAGCAACCTCAAACTCCTGGGTCAGCCAATCCTCCTGCCTCACCCTCCCGAGTAGTGGGACTACAGGCGTGCACCACCATGACAGGCCAATTTTTTTCTAAATTATTTACTTTAAGTTGGCCGACACTTAATTTCCTTGCCTATTTTAGTCAAGAGACGGGGTCTCGCCCTTGCTCAGGCTGGTCTCAAACTCCTAACCTTAAGCGATCTGCCCGCCTTGGCCTCCCAGAGTGCTGGGATCACAGGCGTGAGCTCTATCCTCTGCGCTCGCTTGGTGTCCTGAGATTTGTGGTTTTATTATATTTGTATTCATATAGAGCCTTCAGCAGTAAATGTCCTTGGGTATTGAGGGTCAAGTACCTGCTATTTTGATGATGTTGCTGACACCAAAAACTTTTCAGAAGTCCTCTTTGGAAAGACAGAAGCACTGCATTAGAAAGAGTTAACTCAAATTCTGGACTCAAATTCTGAATTACTACTTGCCACATCTTGGCAGCTCATCTAATCTCCTTGGGTGTTTCCTTGGATGTAAAATGACAATAATAATGGTACTTATATAATGCTATTGCAAGAATTAATTGGGCTAACAATGAAAAATGCTTGGCATAGGACTTGGGGCATGTAAGAGCTCATTAAATGGGGGCCACTATTATATTATTGTGACATTAGTCTCATTTATATTTAATTGACGGCTCTTTTTAGCCTTTTTCTTTTCTTCTCTTTTAGTTTTTTAGAGATAGTGTGTTTCTCTGTCACCCAGGCTAGGGTGCAGTGACGTGAGCATAGCTCACAACAGACTTGAACTCCTGGGCTCAAGCGATCCTCCTGCCTCAGCCTCCCGAGTAGCCGGGACTACAGGCATGCGCCACCGGGCCTGGCTTAGTTTTCTATTTTTTGTCGAGATGGGGCTTTGCTATGTTGCTCAGGCTGGTCTTAGACACAGGCCTCAAATGATCCTCCCGCCTTGGCCTCCCAAAGTGCTAGGATTACAGGTGTGAGCCACTGCACCCAGCTTTCTTTTCCTCTCTTGATGCTTACCTGCCTGCCATCCGTGTGTTACTTTATTTTTTAAACACATGTTTGTGGGACATCTCCCATTGCATGGTACTAGGCACTGGATTTGTACATAAAACAGATGGGGTCCTTGCCCTGGCACAGTGGCCAGGCTGGCTGGCTAGCCCCGGGCATGCACTGTGCATTCCAAGCAGACCCAGCTCTGTCTCACTTTTGTGAGTTGCTTTATGTGAGTTGTTTCTTTTTAACGGCAGTTTCTTTTTCTTATGTAAAATTCCAAAAAGAAAAACCTTTTAAAACTTTATACTGATGGGGCACATGGCTCACGCCTGTAATCCTAACACTCTGGGAGGCCAAGGTGGGAGGATGGCTTGAGGTCAGGAGTTCGAGACCAGCCTGAGCAAGAGCGAGACTCTGTCTCTACTAAAAATAGAGGCATTAACCACATGATGTGGCATGCACCTGTAGTTCTAGTCACTCAAGAGGCTGAGGCAGGAAGATCACTTGAGCCTAGGAGTTTGAGGTTGCTGTGAGCTATGATGACACCACTGCACTCTAGCTGGGGTGACAGAATAAGACTCTGTCCCCCAAACAAAACAAAACCAAGCAAACAACAAAAAGCCCTTTATAGCCGTTATTTCTGGGTGGTGGGGCTTGAAGCATTTTGTTACTTTCTTCTTTGAACTCTTACTGCTTGAATTTTTACAAAGATCAAGATAGATCAAGCGTCTTTTTTTGTACTTTATTTTTTTTTAGAGACAGGGTCTTACTCTGTCACCCTGGCTACAGGGTGACACCAGGCTACAGTGCAGTGGTGTCATCATAGCTTACAACAGCCTCAAACTCCTGGATTCAAGTGCCATCCTCCCACCTCTGCCTCCCGAGTAGCTGGGACTACAAGTGTGCACCACCATGCCCAGCTAATTTAAAAAAAATATATAGAGAGAGTCTCGCTCTGTTCAGGTTGCTCTTGAACTCTTGACCTCAAGTGGTCTCCTGCCTTGGACTCACAAAGTGTTAGGATTACAGGCGTGAGCCACTATGCTGTGCCCAGTGTCATTTTTACAAAAAACAAAATTATTAATTAATTAATTAATTTATTTATTTTGAGACAGAGTCTCACTCTGTTGCCTGGGCTAGAGTGCCATGGCATCAGCCTAACTCACAGCAACCTCAAACTCCTGGGCTCAAGGGATCCTCCTGACTCAGCCTCCCGAGTAGCTGGGACTACAGGCATGCGCCACCATGCCCAGCTAATTTTTTCTATATATTTTTAGTTGCCGAATTAATTTCTTTCTACTTTTTAGTAGAGACGGGGTCTCACTCTTGCTCAGGCTGGTTTCAAACTCCTGACCTTGAGCAATCCTCCCGCCTCGGCCTCCCAGAGTGCTGGGATTACAGGCGTGAGCCACCGTGCCCGGCCCAAAATTATTATTTTTAAAAATGTGACTCCAATGCCACCACCTCTGTGAGCCTTCCGCTGCTGAGACCTGGGTCTTCCACCTCTGCGCCCCCACGGCGCTGTGCGTGAGACTGTGCGAGAAGGTCCCTCAGGTTGATGGGACTGCCTGTTTAAATGTCTGTCTCC